CCCTGTATATAAATAATGCCTGCAATTTACAAAAAGGTAACCCAATAAAAAAGTGGACAGGAGACTTGAACTGACTCTTCACAAAAGAGGAAATCTAAATGGCTAGTATACTTAAAAAATAAAAAACAGATTTACAATGTTCGGTTCATGCAGCCAGAACTATTTTATCTTAGAAGCTGTGTGCTTTTTTCACTGTGTAGACATCTGCACTGATGGTACAAAAGCAACAATGGGTAGAACTGCTGATGCCTTAGTGTGAATGAAAGCAGTGGCACTAACCTAGTGTTCACTGTGTCCTGCCTCACCCCTCACCTACCCATATCCAGTTTCTTTTAAAGTGTTCTTGATGAAGGAGTAAAAACAATCAAGTTTTATAAAATCTTGATCTTTGAGCATATGTCTTTTTAATATTCGGCATCAAGTGGGAAACATGCATAAAGTACTTCTATTACGTACAGAAGTACAATGGTTCTCATGATTTAAAAAGTACCTGTGCAGTTGTGTAAGTTGCTAGCCAAACTGGCCATTTTTTCAAGAAAGACCATTTTTACCTGAAAGAACCTCAAGTAATCCTCCTGCCTCAGCCTCCCAAATAGGTGGGACTATAGGTACGTACCATCACTCTTGACTCTATTTACCATGTTCTCAGGAATGAGCTCAACATGTGACATCCATCTTCACATTCAGTCCTACCAAACCTGAGACAGGTATAATTATACCCAAGGTACAGATCAGGAAAGCAAGGCTCTGAGGGGCTGACTGTGCCCACTGAGAGACAAGGAAAGCTGCAAGCTCAGGGTTTGAACCCAGCTGAGGAACCTCCAAAGCCTGCATTCTTAACTGCCATAAAATACTCGCTCCTTGACATGGTGGTTTGGGTGCAGTGGTATGGAAGAGTGTGACAAGGCTTGGTCTTTTGCCTTACCCCCTCCAACCCACCAGGCTTTTCAGCCAAATGTACTGCTGACCGCATAAGAATCTGTCAGCGGTTTCCAAGTGTCCATGGAGAGATTCATGTACTTCATTCCCATCAGGGGCCTTCCAAAGTCTGGTCCAATCCTCAACAGCTGTTATCTCCTAGAATTCCAGACACACAATCTTTCTCTAGCCAAACTTCAGGGATAGTCTCGCACTCTTGGACCTTGATGCCTCTGCTCTACTGTTCCTTCAGCCTGGAACAACCTTCCCTCTAAAAGAAATGTGTTATGTTAAAACTGAGACATCTGAAAAGGTAAAAAGAAAGAACTTAAGGAGTATGTCTCTCCCCCATGAAGACACAGCTCAGGCAGCACCTCCTCCAGGAGGCCTCTCTCAGGCTGTCCCTGCAGGAGCTCTGTGCTACCCTCTGTAATAGCAGTTCTCTATTTCACTCACCTGTCTTCCATACCAGAGCAGCACCCCAGCCCTAGGAACTCCTGAGCCCACAGGAAAACGGTCATTTGCTGAACACAGGACCCATAGGCACAAGTTCAGACAGAGCTACAAAGAGGTGAAAAAGTGGAGCAAAGAAAATATGTGCTTGAAAAAAGCCATCTGCCCTCCTGCTAATCTTATCTTGTCAGGGATGAACAATGTACTTGGGAAACCACATAGGAAAAGGAGCCTGAAACACGCTTGGTATTCAGGGAAGGCTTCCCAAGGAAAGGAATGACCACTAAGCAGGCTGCTAAAGAATGAGGAGAGAGGCAGGAGAGAGGTAGAGTGCAGGACAGAAAGAGCATCGCAGCCTGAAGTCCTGTCCTGTGCATAGCCCTGGAAGGACAGGCGGTGCAGGTAGAGCTGGGGGCTGGGTAGTTAGGGTATCAACTTAGTGGTTAAGTGGGTTGCTCAGCCCAAGTTGAACTTACCCAGTTAGGGGGAAGTGGAAGGATACAATCAATACTTATCAAGGTGAAAAATAACCAAATGGTGTGGGTCTCAGTTAGGCAACATTTGCTAAGTAAGGCTATGAGTCTTTGGGCTGAGGAAGGCTTTGGGGAAGATATCGATATTGTACTAGGCCCAGAAGATGGGCAGGGAGGCTGGACATGGTGCCAGCTGAGCAGAGGCCTGCTGCCAGCACAGCAAGCCCTGCCCCAACCTGCCCTCAGGTCTTTCGGCTTACAAAACTCCCTGGTTCCCTACCCCAGGAGTTCATCCCATTCTTTACAGCACCACCACTCAGTTATTTTTGCCTAAACCTAAGATTACTGGCTTTGGTTCAGAATTTTTATATCTATATTCATAAGGGATACTGGTTTGCAGTTTTCTTGTGATGGATTTGGTTTTGATAGTAGGGTTGTACTAGCCTCATAGAAGCTGGGAAGTATTGCCTCCTCTTCTATTTTGGGGGGAGACTTTGTGAAGAACTGCTATTCATAAAAACTCATTATTAGGAACACTTTTAAACACACCAAAAAACAGTAATAATAGTATCATGAATTACTGTGTATCCTCCCACCCAACCTCAACAATTAATCAATAGCCAGCCATTTTTATTTCACTTACACCATCCTTTCCCAGTATTTTATACTTTCATGGGATTGAAATTAGTTTATTTATTTATTTATTTATTTATTTTTGAGACAGATTTCATTATGTTGCCCTCAGTAGAGTATCATGGCGTCATAACTCACAGCAACCTCAAACGCTTGTGCTTAAGCAATTCTCTTGCCTTAGCCTCCCAAGTAGGGGGACTATAGGCGCCCACCACAACACCCGAGTATTTTTTGTTTTTGTTGTTGTTGTTGCAGCAGTTGCCATTGTTGTTTAGCAGGCCTGGGCCGGGTTAGAACCCACCAGCCCTGATGTATGTGGCCGGTGCCCTAACCACTGATCTACAGGCGCCAAGCCTGAAATTATTTTAAAGCAAGTCCTAGACATATCATTTCACCCTTAAATACTTTACCATGTATCCATCTCTAACAGATAAGGACTTTTGTTTTCTTTTAACATAAAGAGAATTTAATTATTTCACCTAACAAAATTAGCAGTAGTTCCTAATGTTATTTAATACCTGATCCATGCTCAAATTTCTCAAAATGTTTAAAAAATGATTTTTTGAATTCATTTATTTAAATCAAAATCTAAACAAGGGCCAGCATTATATTAAGTTGATATGACTCTTTTAATAATAGTCTCCTTTTCCCTTTTCTCCCCATGCTGTTCATTTATTTGATGAAAAATCAAGGTCAATTTATCCTGTAAAAATTTTCCATGTTCTAATTTTGGCCATTATATCCTCATGTGTCTGTTTCACTCATTCTTCTATCCTTTATACTTTTAAAGTGGATGTTAGATCTAGATTGAGGTTGCTGTAAACTTACTATTGTATAATATTAGAAGACACTTAATGTCTGGCTGTCTCACTTTTACTGTTAAGACTGATCAATGGGTTCAGATGCTATTAGCCTGATTCATCTGTTATGAAGTCCCCTATTAACATTTAACCAACAGATTTAGCAACCATTGATGATTTGTAACTAGAGCCTGTGCCACCCTAATTGGGAATCATAGACCTGGACTCCAAAAATCTTCGTTTCAGCAGAAGTTGCAACATAGTGATTTCCTAATTCTTTCAGTTCTTCCAAGGCTAAAATTTTTACCTCCAAAATTTTAGAATCCAGGTCTACAATTCCCAATTAGGCTGGCACAGGCTCTAGGTGCCATTGTAGAAGCCTTGAGGGAGTTCTGCTTGTCATAGTAGTTAGAGGACCCTCCTGCTATTCATAGGCTGAAAGCAGAGATGTCAGAGATCTACATGACAAAGAATGACCTGCATCCCACACAACTTTAGAATGTTTTGTTAGACACAACATGTAAAAGCCTACTTAAGTTACTTGAGTATAAGCTCATTTTACATATGTACACAAGGTACTTCTATTGTCTTAACATAAGCACATTTTTCCAGGAATATAATAACTATGCTGTAATTGAAGAAATACCATCCAACCTCTATTTTGTTTGCAATTCTCCTAAGAGTTAGTCACTATTTCAGAACAGTCAGGTTATAATAATAACAGCAATATAATTTTATTGCATTTGAGTTGTTCATACAATATATCTGTATAAGCCAGCATTTGTCACTGCAATTCAAAATAATTCCATATACAGGTATAAACATCAATGTTTTCTAGTATACTTATGATCAGGCACCTATACATTAAAATATGCATTTGTCATCTTTTGAAATGTGCATTAGGTAAGTTAGATTACAAATTCCAACTCAATATAGTAAAGGACATTTCAAAGCGTATTTGTTTGGAAGTGGGCAGTGGCTCTAAGACAGCTGAGAATTACTATTTACTTTAGGTCTAAAAATCTTCTTTAACCTTTTTCAACTTGACAATTGTCCTGGGCTTAATCTTAAAGCTTACCACCCGTATGCTGCTTAGATCATAGTGCCGAGAATGAGGACACCTGAACCCCAGCCCTGGCTCTACCTCTTTATTAGTGGCTGGTAACCTTAGGCAAGTCATCTTACCTTTGTTCCCTTCTGTAAAATAAGAAGGTTAGATTAGAAAAGCTGTTCCCAACCTTTTCAGCCACTTTTTATCATTCTCTGCTCTCCACAGGACTCAATATTTTTGAAGATTTTGCCAAAGAGACTTGCCAATTATCACTTGTATAAAATAAAAAAACTGCACCCCCTCTGGGAAAGTACTTTTTACATCTGCATTTTCTCAAAAAGCCTGGCCTGGGGCCTAAAACAAAGAGCTCTGGAATGAATTAACTGCGAATCACTTGGTCAGTAACCTCGGACTACTACACATAAGCCCCAGAGACCCGGACCCTTGGGCAGACTTGAACTCTGTATAGCCTCTAGAAAGGAAGCAGACAGCCTTGAGGTGCTAAGTAGTTAGGGTATCAAGAATTTACTGCTCCATTTATATCTTCATTTTCTACCTCTACATACTAAGACTTTGACAACTGTGTTGAAAAAACATTAGTGCCAGGGAGGGTATCAGTGGCAGGATGGGGATGGCTGGGTGGAAGCCCTCTACTGGGGGATCTGTACTCACCAGGGAGGCTGCCGGCTGCTGTGAGGGTGGTGTGAAGGAATCCGGAGTGGGTCCACCTCACTGGCGGTAGCAGGGGGGAACTCTCGAGAGGGACTGCTTACATCAGCCTTCTCCCACTGCTCATGGATAGGTGTGATGATTTCAGAAAAAATACGAGACCGAAGCTCCTCACTGTTTTTGTATGTCCTGTGGGAAGTAGATGAGGAGTCAACTACTTGCAGTTGGCTGGCAACCCTGCAAACAGTATCCTGGCATTCGCTCTGATGGCCCTGAGAGCTCCTGGAGTTGCACTTGGCCCTTCTGCAAGGTGAAGAAAGGTCGGTTGTCTGGCCGGCCTGGGTGAGAGGGGCAACAGCCCGGCGCTGTCTCCGAGATTTAGCCCTCAGCTTCTTAGGCATCTGAGTTGCCCCTCCTCCTTTACCACCCCATTAGAAAGAGGTAAGGGTACAGGGGGCACAGGGCCTGGACTGGCTACTCTTCTGTCCTACCCCACCCAAGCCCTCCCTCAGCTTCATTATGTGTTCATCACATGTCATGGGAAGGGTCAGGGAAGGCAAAGTTTCCATGGGGAGAATGAATCAGGTTCCAGGGCTGGGTAGGCAGAACTCTGGGGATTCAAGGTCTACTTCTGCCACTAACTCAGGGGTCTTCAGAAGGCTGTCCTAACATCCATCCTGCCTGGACCTCTTTTCTCCGCCTGTCAGAGACAAGCAATGTGAGCTACAGCTGAGGTGTGGAGGCAGGCTGAGGTAGCAGAGAATGCGCAGGACTCTAGCATTCCTTAAAAAACTGGTGTTTTAAATTGAGCCACATTCTGGCCCCTAAACCAAACCTCACAAATTTAAAAGAACTGAAATCAAAGAGAGTTATGTTCTCTGACCATATGGAAACATGCTAGAAATCAAAACAGAAAGTCTCTAAATACATGGAAATTTAGTAACACACTTTGATAATTCAGGGATCAAAGAGGAAGTGCTAAAAATTATAACATATTAAAGTATGTTGGATATAACTAAAACATTGTTGAGAAGAAACTTTATAGCTCTAAATGCTTACATTAGAAAAAAGAAAGGAACTCAAATCCATAATCAAAATTCTAATCTCAAGAACCTAGAAAAAGAAGAGCAAATTAAACACAAAGGAAATAGAAGGAAGTCATAAAGATAAGAGCAGAAATCCAATCAGATCAAAAATATGAAAAGAATAGAGAAAATTAACAAATAAAAAGCTGGTACTTAAAAAAAAAAAGAGGGCGATACCTGTGGCTCAAAGGAGTAGGGCATTGGCCCCATATGCCAGAGGTGGCCGGTTCAAACCCAGCCCCGGCCAAAAACTGCAAAAAAAAAAAAAAAAAAGAATTAAAACTGACAAACTTCTACAAAGACTGCCAAATACAAAAAGAGAGAAGACACAAATCACCAATATCAAGAAACAGGAGGTACTGACAACAGATCTATAGCCACTGATAGGATAAAAAGACAACACTAGGCTGGGCGAGGTGGCTCACAACTGTAATCCTAGCACTCTGGGAGGCTAAGGAAGTGGACTGCTTGAGCTCACAGGTTCGAAACCAGCCTGAGTAAGAGCTAGACCCCATCTCTAGAAAATAGCTGGGTGTTCTGGTGGGTGCCTGTAGTCCCAGCTACTCCAGAGGCTGAGGCAAGAGAATCACTTGAGCCCAAGAGTTTGAGCTTGCTGTGAGCTATGACACCATGGCACTCTACCAAGTGAAACTCTGTCTCAAAAAAAAAAAAAAGACAATACTAAGGACAACTTAATTCAACAACTCCAAATAGACCAACTCTTAAATATCATGAAACAAAACAGCCAAAATAAAATAATCTGAATAGTTATTTTAAAAACTCACACTTAAACATCCCCAAAAACAAATCTTGAGGTTCAATTTCAGTGGAGAAGTCTTTTAAACAAGAACTCATACCAATTTTACAGTTACTTCTAGAAATATAAGAGAAGGGAACCCTTAAAAATTGACTGTAGGAGGCCAATATTACTTTGGTATCAAAATCAAACAAAGACAGTACACACAAAAAGAGAACGCTACAGAACAGTATCTCCTAGAAAACCTAATGGAAAAATTCTCAACAAAATATTGAATTAAAAAATATATATGTAAAGAATTATACACCAGAACCAAGTAGGATTTATTCTAGGTATACAGGGCTATTTTAAGAGTCACAAATCAATGTAAACTATCATAATAATAAGCTGAAGAAAAAAATTCATATGATTATATCAACTGATACAGAAAAAAGCACTTGACAAAATCCAACATAATGAAACCATTCATGATAAGACTCTCAACAAACTAATGATAAAGGGGGAACTTCTTCAACTTGATAAAGAACATTTACAAAAAATCTACAGCACAGTACGTTTAATGGTGAAAGTGGATACTTTGCCCCTAAGACTGGGAACAATACGAGGATGTTCTTTCTCATTACTCTTATTTAACGTACTACTGGAAGTTCTAGCTACTGCAATATGGTGAGAAAAAAGAAAGGTATGCAGATTAGGAAAGAAGAAATAAAACTGCGCCTATTTGCAGATGACAGACAGTCTACCTTGAAATTCCCAAGGAATGTACCAAAGAACTCCTAGAACACCTGAATTCAGCAAGGTGAAGAATACAAGATCAAAACACAAAAATCAACTGCATTTCTATATACTAACAAGGAACATTTGAAAACCAAAACTAAGAACAGAATAGCGTCTAATAATTATCGCCTTCTCTGTTTTAAAAAAATAACAGAACATGTACAGGATCCATATACTAAAAATTACACAATGATGACAGAAATCCAACAAGACATAAGCAAATGGAGAGACATACCATGTTGACAGCAAAAATGGCAGTTCTCCCCAAACTGATCTGTAGGGTTAATGCAACACTGCTGAAAATGTCACAAAGTTTGTCACAGACACTGACATTTATTCTAAAGATTATATGGACAGGCAGAGACCCTAGAATAGCTAAAACTATACTGACAAAGAAAAAAGTGAGAGAGATCATTCTACTCAATATTAAGACCTTCCCTATAGCTACAATACTCAATACTATAACTGGAGGAATAGATATATAAATCAATAGAAAAGAACAGAGAATCCAGAGACAGATTCTTAGAGGTAGAGACCACTGATTTTAGACAAAGTTACAAAAGTAATCAATAAAGGGATAACAAATAAGAGCTGGAACTATTGGATTTCCATAGGTTTTTAAAAAAAGAACCATGGCCTAAATCTTACACAGTTCTTATTTCTACTTAGAACACAGAAGCGTGGGAACTCTGTTACTTGCCAGACCAAGCTGGGCAGAGAATTTACCTTTCAATCTGATGAGGTGTGTGATCAAAGAAAGGCCTGCGATCTCTCTAGGAGGGGGTAAAACTCAGGCCTGATTCAAAGACCATCAAGTCCTGAAGGAGTTCTCACATAATTTCTAAACCTGGGTAGAACAAGTGCCATTTTGGTGGTAGCAGAAGACAGCCCATCCTCTTGTCTAACACAGAAAGAGCATAGCAGAATGGAACACTAGAGGTTTATCCTCCTTAGCAAATCAGTTTGCTCACTGAGGGGCACAAATTCCTGAAAGAGGTCAGACAAACCACACAGTGACCTAACAAGGAGGGCCAGACACAGGAAGGGAGTTCAGTGCTGCTGGCAGGAAAGCAGCGGGGTGAGGGAGGATTTCTGATCAGGGCTCAGATGTTTTCCTTTGTGTATTTGCAAGAGCTGGACTCAGCACCAAGCACTCTAATGTGCTGACCTCTCATTTTATTCTCAGAAAACACTCTGACATAGTACCATTGTGTCCCTCATTCACAGTAATCAACAACCAAAAGAAAATAAAACATATATCCTGCTCCTCACACCCAAAGCCCCAAAACAAATGCATTTTTTAAAAAATGGAGACACCATCGTAATTCTCTCTTCAGTACTGCTAAGGATGCTCTATTGAGAATAAATGGACAGTACAGTGCCTGGGTTCCTCCATAGGTTTTATCAATTTCTCTCCCAATGAAACTCTAGAATGAAGTCCAAATGTCCTTCCTTTACCTCCTTAAGGAGACCGGAGGTGTCATGGTGATTGCAATACCCAGAAGGGCAGCTCTCTGCCATGCGAGGCCTGGCCTCACTTCTCCTCTTCATTCTTTTGTCCACTATATGCAAAATACCCCTAAGTCTTACCCTCAAGATCATGGCAAATGGGGAAGACCAACTTGAAGAACTTAATTAGAAAACACCCACTTGTTAAATGCTTACCAAAGTATGTTTTGAAACATTAAACACGGGGGCCAGAGGACTTCTCTGAGGAACTGCCATTTAAGCTGGGATGAACAGAAGATGGTTGTGCGAGGTGGGGGAGAGCACTCTAGGGAGAAGGAAGAGGTCTGAAGAGGAGAGGAGAGTGACACCACCGCTGAGAGTAAGTGCCGCAGAACATGGTTAGAGGGATGGGTGCTAGACTTTAAGGATTTTTTCCTTTATCCTAAAAGCAATAAACATTCACTGAAGGCTGTTTTTATAATTGTATAAAATACACATAAAATTTATTATCTCAACCATTTTTAAGTGTGCAGTTCAGCAATATTAGGTGCATTCACACTTTTGTGCAATTAGTACTACTATCGATCTCCTATTTTCATCTTGCAAAACAAATTCTGTACACAATTAAATAGTAATTCCTCGTTCTCCTCCTACCCCCTGGCGACCACCATCTACTTTCTGTCTTTATAAATTTGACTCCTCTGGGTACCTCATACAAACGGAATCATATAGTATTTTTCCTTTTGTTACTGGCTTATTTTACTTGGATAATGTCCTCAAGGGCCATCCATGTTGTAGCATGTGATAGGATTTCCTTCCTATATAAAGCTGAGTAATATTCTACTAGATGTATACACCACACTGTGTTTATCCATTCACCTGTCAATGGACATCTAGTTTGCTCTCACCTTTTAGCTATTGTGAATAACACGTCTATGAACAATGGGTGTACAAACATGACTTCAAGATCCTGCTTTCAATAGTTTTGGGTATATGTCCAGAAGAGGAAATTAAGGATTACACAGTAATATAATTTTTGAGAAGCTGCCATATTGTTTTTCATGGTGGCTATAGCATTTTACATTCCCACCAACAGTGCCACAAGGATTCTAATTTCTCCACATCCTTGACAACACTTGTTTATTTTCTGATTGTTTGGATAGTAGCCATCCTAATGGGTGTGAGATAGTATTACTGAAGAATCTTCAAGCAAGAGCTGTAACCATGATCTGATCTATGTTTTAAAATGACTGGTCCCACTCCTGGAGGGTGGTCAGCAGGAGCAGAACATACAAATGATCTCCTCACACAGAAGCTGCATGGATGAGGGGAGGAGACAAAGAGGAGTGGCCAGAATGACAAAGTCTGAGAGGACTGGGATGAGTTCAAGGCAGTTATTGTTGGTTAGGTGCAATTAAATGCAACGGGGTTTCTGGGCAATTCTGAGGTTCAGTTAAGGTTTGATAACTATGAATTTACAGAAAGCTAAGCCTTCTCCTAAAACCCTGAGGAGATCAATGAGGATGGGGAAAGTCCCTGAAGTGAATAAGGCAGAATAAGCTTAATTACATATCCAACAGATAACTTCATTACACGGGTAAGAAAATAACCATTCATCTAAGTACCTTTGAATACAATACACTGACTATCTACGTCATCAGTGGGACAATCAAAGGACCAAAAGAACTGAAATCATGTGGAACTTTACTTAGCAGGTTTGTCTTGGTAGGTACTGATACAGAAGTTCAGAAACTATTTGTATGTATTTTAGGACTAAGCAAAAGAGTAAATATTTTAATGCTATTGGAAATCAGGATTCTTGCCACAGGAGAAGGGAGATATAAGTTTGGAATAAGAGAGTAAGACTCCTGTGATGTTATACTGAAAACAGATGTGTCATTTTAAACTTATATCGAAAACAGAGGTGTTTAGTTTAAACTTTTCCACTGAAAGTGCCTAGAATCAAAGTACTATATGATACCAACTACACGACATTTGGGAAAAGGCAAAACTACGCAAACAGTAAAAGATCCATGGTTGCCAGAAGTTCGGATGAATGGAAGTGATGAATAGGAGGTACAGAGGATTTTTAGAACAGATTGTTCTATCGGATACTATAATGGTAGACACCTGTCAAAGCTCACAGACTATACAACACCAAGAGTGAACCCTAATGCAGACTATGGACTTGGGTGATAACGATGTGTCAGTGTAGGTTCATCCAATGTACCAAATGTACAATTCTAGTGTAGGATGTTGATGGGGGAGGCTGTGGGTATGTAGGGGCACGAGATACACAGGAACTCTGTGCTTTCTGCTCAATTCTGCTTGAACCTAAAACTGCTCTTAAAAACAGTGACTATTAAAAAAAAAAATTGAGGGTAAAGTGGGGACCTGATTAGGCACACTTCCTCCCAGGACCCTACTCTGAACAAGCTGGTCTGGCCCCAGCTCTACTCTATAGTCATTGAAGCACTTGTGGACCCTGCGATTGCATCATCTTCTTTCATAGGTACTTCCTATGTAAGTCTTCTCATCAGATAAATTAAAAGCAGAAAAGAGAATTGAGGAGTGACTGTGCCCAAAAGTGAAAAGTTCTTTTGTTCATCTTCCCCAATTTTCTGGACACTTCCACTGGATTCATTATATCTTGCCACTGGTTCTTTCTTTTTCCCAGGGAAAAGACATCATTTAAAAGTACCTGTGGAAGTCACCCAAGTGTTCTGCATCGATATAATCATCTAAGTTCAGGGTCAAGTCTGCCACTTGCTGTGTGCCATATTCCTAGAAAAATAAAAATAGAAAATGAGGGACTGGGATATTTCTGGGCTAATCAATAGGTGGGTTGGGTGAAAGCAACAATTAAGTATAGAACCTAAAGAATATATTTAAAAAAAAGAAAGAAAAAGAAATACATATATCCACAAAGATATATATATATAGTTATATAGTTAATAGTTATATATAGATATATATAAATTATTTATAATATATGAAAGACCCTCTTAACGCTTGGGGAATTCTCTGATTTAGGAATATTGCCTTTCCAAGGCAGAGACCAAAAATCTCACTTCCCAGGCTCCCTCACAGCTCAGGCACAGGAGTAATTAAGGTGTTAAATGGATGCATCAGCTTTGAGTTAGAGGCAAGCAACTGGAGAAGCAGGCCAGCAAGAGCCAGCTGTCTTGCTAACGAGGGTAGAGCAAGGCCGCAGGGGTCACAGTATCAATGGCTGAAGAGAAAGGGGCACCAGAGCAGCCAGTATCGGACAGTATCAGCCAGTACCTAATATCTGGCAAAGGTGGCAGCAGCAGTGGTTTCCACAGCATGATTTAAGACACGGCTCCTGGAAGCCCAGCTTTGAACCTCTTTCAATGAGCTAGCTTGGTTCTTTTTTTTTTTTTTAACGCTAGTCAAGTACAGAAGTGAAAAGGAGGGAAAGAAGAGAACAAGGAGTTCAATCTGTAACTGAGTGTGAACAATCAGGTGAGATAACTATATTCAAACCAGCCCATCCTGGTTCCTTTAATAATCACTTTCTGCTTAACCTAACCTGAAGGTATTGTTGTTTACAACCAAGAACTCTCTCTGATCTAAGATCTAAATGTTCATCAAAAGGGAAATGGATAAATTATGGTATTATGGAATACTACATAGTAGTTAAAATAAATAAGGTATATCTTTGTATATTCCCATTTCAAGACCTCCAAGACATAGTAAAAAGTAAGTGAAAGAAAGCAAGATGCAGTATAACACATCCAGCAAGCTGCTCTTTAGCCAAGTTAAAACTTAACCAAAAGAAAGTCACTGCCCTCCTAGTACTTATGGTCCATTGGCAGAATACAGATATTAAAGCAAAGCACAAATAATCACAAGCTGTGATAAGTACCAGGAAGGAAAATAAAATGATGGGAGAGGCATAATTTAGATTTTTCTGGCAGCTGGGGGTGGGTAGACAGAACTGAACTTTTTGAAGATGTAAAAATGAGAGGGTGTTAGCCAGGCTGAAGGAATGGCAGAGGGGGTGTGTGTCTGTGTGTGTGGTGGCCGGCAGTGGAGGGAAGAAGCCTTCCAGCACAGGAAACATAAAATGCAAAGGCTCCAAAACAGCAAAGAACTCAGCTTACTTAAGGAACCAAAGTAGCTCACTGGATCTATACTAAGTTATTTTCTCCTATTTTGTTACCTTTGGGTTCATCTTAATTTCCTTAACTATTTCCCTGTTGACAGAAAGTCCTTCCTTATTAATACCAGATAGTAAACACTTTTGTTCACTTTTCTATATTTTTAAAATTTTTTGTATTTAGGGTTCTCAACTGAGGATAAAGTTCCAGAAGTGGAATCATTGGGTAAAGCCTTCACAAACATTGATGAGTCTGGATCCATACTATTAAATGGATTCCAAAAAGGGCCATCCCAATCCCTCCTCTCAGCAGCAGACTCCTGCATGTCTCAGAAACTTACCAGCACATTGATGATCATGCTGTTCTCCACGGTGACGGCTTTCACAAGGAGCTTTCTGGACCCATCCTTAGACTCATACCGGAGGACATAGAGGTCTTTACTGTTGTTCCATCCAGCTGGCAGCAGTTCTGATTTCTTATCATTGGGATGTGGCTGAGAAGACACCAGGGATGAGAGGAGAAAGATCATATCCTCAGAACACAAAGCTGTAAGGACCCTACAGAAAATCTAATCCCACCCCTCACTTCACAGATGAGGACACAGACGTCAAGGGAAGTGACTTGTCTAAGATCATATAGCAAGTTAGAGGTTGAGAATCAAGATCTCTGGGTTTGTGTTCTACTGCTCTCTTCCTCCTATCTGGTGCCTTTGTGACACTGCACTGAAACCTGGAAAGAACCTGCAGCCTTTGTTTAATAATCATCTCCCCTTTATCCTACTACTGAGAATAAGGCAAATCATCTCAAAGGACATTGTACAATTCTAAATCAGTGTTTTTCCAAGTTTAGACCTTGGGCCATCTGCAGTAAGATCAGCAAGTCCTGCAGTAGTTCAACAAAAAGTATAGGCTGGGCGAGGTGTCTCACACCTATAATCCTAACACTCTGGGAGGCTGAGATGGGTGGATTGCCTGAGCTCACAAGTTCGAGACCAGCCTGAGCCAGAGCGAGACCTTGTATCTAAAAATAAATGGGTGTTGTGGCAGGTGCCTGCAGTCCCAGCTACTCCGGAGGCTAAGGCAAAGAATCGCTTGAGCCCAAGAGTTTGAGGTTGCTGTGAGCTATGACACCATGGTATGATCCCATGGCACTCTACTGAGGGTTACAAAGTAAGACTCTGTTTCAAAAAAAAATTATAAAGTTTTCACACATACACAAAATGTAGCATATCTATCAGACAAAAAAGAATTATACAATGGACACCAATGTAACTATTGCCAGCTTGAGAAACAGAACTTTGTTATTACTGTGAAAGCCGTGGGTAGCACACCCCACTTAATCTCCTTCCTTCCCCCTTAAGGGTAACCACTACTCTGTATTTTTAAAAATTTCTTTACTTTTCCTTAGAGTTGTATTACTATGTGTATATATGCAACCATAATAATGTACTGTTTCAAAGGTTTCTGAATTTTATATAAATGGTATCACTTCTGCCACTTGCCTTTTTTATTCGAAAACTGTTTTTTGAGATTCATCCATGTCAGTGTATGTAACTATGGTTGATTCACACTCAGAGTTACTGTGTTTCCCTGAAAATAAGACCTACCTTAAAAAGAAGCGCTAGCAGGATTTCTATGCATTTGTTAAATATAAGCCCTACCCTGACAATAAGACCCAGTGATGGGTGTGGCTATCTGCATAGCCACACCATGCATTTTGGAGCTGAGCAGTAAGTAAGACTGGAATGCCTTTTATCTACCACAACTCCTTTCTCCAAGCCCTTTGCACTTGTGCGGGTGCATGTAGTAACCACAGTCACAGGCATCCTATTGCTCACATGCAAACGGCTAGGGGCAAGGAGTTCACCCATCACTAGGGCCAGCCCCACCAACAAGGTTAGCTCCCCCTATCAGGTTCCAGAAGAATATGATTTAACTGTATTTGAATAAATGTAGATTGTTGTATTTAATAAAAATAAGACATCCCCTGAAAATAAGCCCTAGTGTGTCTTTTTGAGAAAAATAAATATAAGACAGTGTCTTATTTTTGGGGAAACATGGTATAAAGCCTTCCATTTTATGACTATGCTACAATTGACACAATCACTTGTTGTGACAAGGAGTGTTTCCAATTTATTTTGCTATCATAAATGATGTTGCTATGATTATACTCGTACATATCAGGTACACATGTAGATAAATATCTATAAAATATGTCTGGAGGAACGATGACAAGGTCAAGTTGTTTTCCAAAGAAGTACTAATTTATACTCCCATTGTTCCTCCTGTTATTGTTCCTCACAGTCAGCTACGTTGTTATTGCCCAACTTTTTAATGCTAGTCAACCTAGTGGGCATAAAATGAATCTTATTGTGACTTGTGATGTCTTCCTTTCTTTTCTTTTTTAATAATCTCAGGACTATCCTTTACACATTAAAGTTTGAGAAATAGTTCTTACTTCTATAAGAAAAATGAATGTAGTGATTTTTAGGTGGGAAAGACTTCTTAAACAAAATCCATAAAAGAAAAAAAATGCTGCCTTTGAAACTGTTCATAATTTCTCCAAGTCTGTAGACTTTATTTTTATTTTTTTAGAGATGGGGTCTTATTATATTGCTCAAGCTGGTCTTGAACTCCTGGCCTCAAGCAATCCTCCCACCTCAGCCTCCCAAGTAACTGAGACTATGGCTGTGAGCCACTGTGCCTGATGGTGAGACTGTTCATAATTTAAAGCTTTTATTGAACAATAGACATTATGAACAAAGTTAACAGGCAGCCACAGACTAGTAATATTTGCCATGGCTACAAATGAAAAGAATAACTTGCACACAAAGACCTAGAAAATGAACAATAAAAATTGAGGACACTCAAAACTGGTAAAAGATAAAAACAACAAAAAGAGTGGCAGTATGTAAAAGGTTATTCAACTTCACTAGCAATCAGAGCTGCACAGGTTGAAATGATGAGACACCAGATTACACCCATCTGACTGGTATTAGCCATTTTTGTATTTTTGGCCATATGTCTGTATGGGTGTGGAGAGAATGGGAACCTCCAGGCACTGCTGGTGAGCATGTAAACGCATAAAGCCCTGTTAGAGAGCAATCTGGTAGTATTTCGTACAATTAAGTTAGCTAATGCCCTATGACCCCAAATCCCTTACTCTTGGATAAAACCCTGAGCACAGATATACTGGGGATGTCAGAAAGGATCTTCATCATCACCACAGCTAAGGCAGCTAAAACAGGTTAAGTAAAACACAAAATATGCTCACAGTGGAATCCTATATAGCAGTCAGAAAGAATAAACTTGGTCTAAATGTAGCATTATATACGAAATAAAAGCATGATTTAAAGAAAAGATCAGAAAAAAAAGGAGGCTTTACAGCCCAGCACCATTTATGGAAAACTTTAGAAAGCCCACAGAAGAACTACATATTTTTTCATAGATGTATATTTGCATTGCTTAACAAGGGGCAGATGACAGGGAAGATCTGTATTCATGAGAATATGGTGGGAGACGACCAGAGATAAAGAACAATGGCGTAAGACAAAGGTCCAGCAAAGCAGGCCTTCACACACACCAAGGACTATGGGAGACTACGAACTGAGAATTGCTGGCCTCTTCTCTATGGTGATCCCTGGTGCTCAGGAATCCACTTTGGAAAGCAGTCCCAAATAAAATTCATGATGTCACAACTGACATGGTTTAAAAAACCTGGCTGGATGACAATAAAATTCACAGGCCTGAAGCAGAGAAATGAGAGTGATAAAAAACAAAAGTGAAACTAATGGAACCATTGCGTGAAATGGGAAAGAGAAACTATTCCCTCACCCTAAACTGGATAAATTTCCTGTAAATATGTTTAGTGTTACAGACTCAGTTTTACTTTGGAAGCCAGGAATTTAAGGATATGCCTTATCCTTGGTCTCTCAAAGGCCTTTTAATTTGTATTATATCCTCTATGTACAGCATTTAACTTACCAGAGTTCTCTCTTGGAATACAGATAATTTGATCTGCTCACCACCTCACCACCTTTGGCTTCCAAAGTAAGGGAAAATCCCTGAGGTCAGATGAGGCTGATATCTCTCAGTGCAGTGGAACTGATGTTCCCAAGAAGCAGAGGTGGGACTGAGAGAGATAAGCCCCAGCGATATCAGGGCCAAACATGGCATTCAACAGCCCTTCGGGCCCTGACATCAAATTATCAAGCCTCCCAGAAAGCTACAGTTGGAAAGTAGCCAAAGAACATGGCTGTTCTGTTCATCCTTCTGATGAAAAATCCAAGGCCTGAGAGGGGCTGAGAACTGCCCCAAGGTCACAGCATGGCTGGGTTTGGAATTCAAAACTCATGGATGCTCAGGCTATGGCTAGAGAAGATTTTTCCCAGCCAGGTCCACCAGACTGACATCAAGACAGTAAATATAACTGTCTTCTTGTGCAAAATCCTGGGGCCAGAAACATTCTTTAATGGCCATGAGTTCACCCCAAGCCTTCTGGGTTAAAATGCACCCACAGAAACACAAACTGATCATTTTAGACATTTCTCTTTCATCACAATCCCTAGATTTCCTATAACAAAACCCAAAATTTTCTAACTTATGTCTATGGCCATCTCTATCCTCTTGCCACCTACACCACTCCACACAGTGGTAAAGTTCTTATGAGGAGTGGTGCTGGTGTTAAGAAAGAAATATAAATTCAGGCTTGGTGCCTGTGGCTCAAGTGGCTAAGGTGCCAGCCACATACACCTAAGGTGGTGGGTTCGAATCCAGCCCGGGCCCGCCAAACAACAATGATGGCTGCAACCAAAAAATAGCCGGGTGTTGTGGCAGGCGCCTGTGGTCCCAGCTACTTGGGAGGTGGAGGCAGGAGACTCTTTTGAGCCCAGGAGTTGGAGGTTGCTGTGAGTTGTGATGCCATGGCACTCTACCCAGGGGAACAGCTTGAGGCTCTGTCTCCAAAAAAAAAAAAGAAAAGAAAAGAAATATAAATTCAAATCCTGGGTTCTCATTGAAATGAATGGCCACATTGCTCTTCTAATCAAGTTTGGCGTACACAATTCCCCTTTACCAGAAGACAAAAAGGACAAAACCAAACATAAAGCAGACAATCTACCTTTCTATTTAACTTCTGTATTATATAGTCAAGTGCACACTCTTTGGATCTTCCTCACCTTTTTATCACCCCCAGAAGGGTGCAAGGGGGACAGGAGATGGAAAGGCAACCCAAACACCTCTGAGCCTGGCAAACACTACTGGTCTCAGCTGAGTCTGCTGGCTCCAGACTAGAAAATTAAACCTTCTCTTAAATACACTAGCAGGAAAGAGGCCTATCCAAACAGCTTCTACTCTGAATGAAAGTAGACTCAGCAGAAGTGAGAGGATGACAAGTGCAACCTGAGTCCCAGGGGCATCTAAGGAGAAAAGGCAGAGAGAAAAAAATACACTACACTTTGGTTTGCAATCCAAATACTCATCCCCTCAGGAGGCATGCAAGATTTTGTCCTGAGGTGGACATAGAGACGTGCACAATGCATTCCAAAACTCCCATTCCCCAGGCTCCTTGGCCTCCCCAAAGATGTCTGGAACTAGCACCTGTTTTTGGTCTGCAGGGGCTGAACACATAGCACTATCAATGGTGTAGAATTAGGTGGACCCTTAGGAACTGGTCAAGAACCTTTGTGTTTTGAAAAAACCAGCATTAAGGAGATCATATTCTTTTTACACATCACCTGAAAATTTGGGGCCTCAAGTATATGGCAAGGGGATGAACCCGGCTGGAAGGGCACCAACCTATGTGAATTGATGCCCTTAAACCGTCAGGATGAGTGATGGGACAAGTAGTAGGAGCAGATCTGCAGTGCTGATATGTATTTGTGGAATGGCAAAAAGAGAACAGTGTCAGGCAGGTCCTCTAGAACAGGTTCCTGGTACTAGGGACAGAGGGGAAGGGATTCTGACAGCATGGCAGGTAGAAACAGCGAGCTGGGAGTATGCAAGGCAAGTGAAGTACACAAGGAGGGGCAGAGAGTAGGGCAGGCCTGTTTCATCTGAAGGAAAGAGCAAAAGGAAGGGGGAACTAAGCCTCGCTCCCTTTCCAACTCCACTGTTCCCAGCATCATCTCACACATCAGCCTCCTGGGAGAACTTCCTAGGAAGAGTTCAAATAAAATGACTGGGGCAAATGAAGGGTTGTTCAAGATTAGAAAGCCAGAGTGAGGCAAGTGCAGAGACACAAGATTTCTTTGGGGAGGTCTATGCACTGAGATAGGGGCCTGACACTTGTAAGTGGGGAAAGGGGGTTGTCTCTACCTTGTCCCATCATCTAAAATTCTGAAAGGCAAGGTAAGTGGAATAAAGTGCAGTGTCAATCAACACAAAGGCCGGAGACAGATGCATTTGGGAGGAAGAAACGGTTTCTGCTGGTGGGGAGGGGGCTGTGAGAAACACTAACTCTTCTTTTCCAGCCTTGCCTCTGATCTTAGAGACTATGTGAGGGATAAAGTGTATGTGTATCTGGAGGTGAGAATGGGGGTGCTGAATGTATACCGGGGGTCCCAGTGAAATATCTGAGGTCTGAAGAAAAAGAACCAGAACTCCATGGCAGTTCTTGTGTTCTGATTCCTGACATCCCCAAAGCTAAGCCGGGAGAAGAATGTTAATAAGACTCTGATGTACATCTGAGAAGCCAAAAAAGGATTAGAAGGATTGGGTGGGGTGTTGAAAACTGAAGCAGTTAGAAATGAGCGGAAGGTTAAAATCTCCTGCAAGATGCAAGAGATGGGTGGTCTGCTTCCCAGAGCTGGTCTTGGTTCTGAGTATGGGAGGACAGTGACACTGAGGGGCAAACATGAAGTACAGTGTGCCCAAGTGTGTGTATGTGGAGAGCATGGTTGAGAGGATATTTTGTCTAATGGTGCAGATGGGAAATGAAGGGGCAATAAGTGGGGAAGCCCAATTCTCTCAGGAGGCTGATGTGTATAATGTTGGAGGAGGGGTGGAGAGGGTTATAGGGAGGGTACAGGGAAGATGAGGGAATACGAGAGAAAAGAGTTACTAGGGTGGGTTGGACTAAGCAGTTCTGGGGTCCTGTGGGGATGATAAAGGTCCCTAGTTGTAAGAAGCAGAGCCTAGAGATGCAGGTGCAGGAAGAGCTGACCCTGTGGGACAGTTATGGGAAGAACATCTTTGACATTTACACTCAGGGCACATATGTGTAGGGAGTGATTGTTTCCCTGAATCTGAATTGAGGGTAACAGCGGTGAGTAGGCTGGCTCCTCAAGATGTGAAGGATGTGTGAGTTCTCTGGGCCCATGCTAAGGGGTGAAGAAAGGGTCCTAAACTGGGGCAGGGTTGGTCAACACTCACCTCCATACCCATGCTTGGATTCAGATGTGTGGTGAATTGAGTTAGTCCCTTCAACCTCAACCCAAGCGGAGTGGTAAAGGTTTAGAGGGGGTCAGGAGAATGAAGAAGGCTCTGGGGAGCTAAACCCCTGTCTCAGTGCCAAGTCCTCACAATCCTGGCCTAAGAAAACTGCCAGGCTGTGTTGAGACAAGTTTCTGTCCACGGGTTTACAAAGCATGTTGTGTCAGCTGTGCTGTGAGGAGCTCTGGGCTGGGCTGAGGTGGGGCAGTTGAGCATCCCCGATCTGCAAAGTATACCAGTGTTGTCCCGAGCCCCGTACTTGGGGAGGAGATAAAGGCACATGCTCTGGACCAGGCGTTCGGTCCTCCGGTTTGGGCAGAAGACAGCTTCCCCCCTTCCCAATGGCTGGCTCCGTGGCGTACCTGTTCACTGGCACCCAAGCAGTAGTAGCCGTGTGTCACCACTTCCCAGTGCAAGAAGCAGACGAGCGCGTCCTGCGGGCAGGTGATGGCCGGCGCTGCCGATGCGAACAGTACTTCCAGGCCCGCCATGAGTAGTGCCTGAGGCTCCTGCGTGCGAAGGAAGGGAGGGGTGAGGGCAGTGAGCCGGCTCAGCGCTCGGAATGGCTGTAACTCCGTTCCGCTCTTCCGTAGGCTCTGGCCCGGCCTACACCTGCAGCCAAAATGGAGACTCCCAGGGGCGGGAGGGGGGAGGGGGGCGCGGCCGCCGGAAGTAGCTCCGAGTGCCGGCGTAATTGTGCCAGGCACGCCGGGCTGGAAACGCGAGCGCAACGTTTAAAGGTTCCGCTAGGGAGCGCTCGCTGGGAGTGCGGCCTTTCAAAGCTGAACCCTGCATCTCCTGCACCGCTGCAAGCCGGGCGTTGCCAATTCCACGGGAGGTCACCTTGCTGTGAGCCGCAGAGTTCCCATCCGCAAAATGAGATACGAGACATCTATTCATCTATTATAGCAATTTGGATTGTTCTGCCTCTTGGCTACTGTGAATAATGCTGATGTGAACATGAGTGTGTCTGTCTGAGTCCCTGCTTTCAATTTTCTTGTGTACACACCTACAAGTAGAATTTCTGGGTCATATCATAATTTGATATTAAACTTTTGAGCATGTACTTGGGATTCTTGTGTTTTAAAAGTTGCCCAGTTTTGGCCAGGCATGGTGGCTCACGCCTGTAATCCCAATACCTCATATCTCATTTTGCAGATGGGATATGGGGAAGAGGCCAGGAAATATGCAGGTAGTATCCATGATTTATGTGCCTCGTTTTACAGATGAGGAAACCCAGGTACAGAGGGATAATTTGACCAAGATGACATAGCCGGAGAGTGGTGGAGAGGGTATTGAAAGTTGGCAGATTGGCTCCTAGTATAACATTCATTAAGTGCTGATTGTATGCCAAAACCTTTATATCACCCTTTAAATAACTCGATAAAGCATGTTCTGTTTTCATCCCCATTTTGCAGATGACAAAAAGGCTTATAGAGTTGAAGCCACTTATCCAAGAAGACACAATTGCTGACGCACTACCAAATTTCAATCATTTATTTCCCTCCCACTTTATGATCTTTACCACCTATAATTTCTTCAACACATTTCTCGAAATCCAATTACTGTTTTTAACTCAAATAAATTTAGTTTTTCTGTCCCAGTCAGCCCACTGGTCCAAGCCCACTGGCATCTCTCCCTTGGATGTCTGACAGCATCTGAACTGCTCCACTCCATCTCAGTCTCCCTACAGACCCAGGGAGATTCTTTAGGACACTAGTCAGACTGTGTCCCTCTGCTCAAAACCTAGTAGGGTTCCCATCATGCTCAATGGAAAAGTAAAGTCCTCCCTGCAGTCTGCAGGAACCCTTCACCCCAGCACCCCCACCAGTCCAGTACCTGACTGACAACGGCTTTCAAATTAATCTGAGGGTACAATTTCTAGGTTACATTGTTCTCACTTGACAACATCTTTTTCAACTGCCCCTGCACCCCCTAGCTGTAGGGACCTTGGCTCCCCTTTTCTCTCACATCCACATCTGATTCAACAGCGAATCTAGTTGGCTCTCCTTTCAAAAGGTATTCTGAATCTGACCACTTCCCACCATCTGCTCTGATCTTCCAGCATCTCACACTTACACTGTTGCTTTAGCTTCCTAACCAGTCTCTGTCATCACATGTTCTGTTCTCCAGGCCTGTGCATTCCTATTTCTGGAATGCTCTTTTCCCACATATTTTTGTGGTTTACTTCTTCATGTCAAATGGCTCCTTCCCTCACTTCCTAGCAGCCCCAACAGAGAGCTTCCCTGACCATCCCATCCAAAATAACCTCCTCCCTTTAACCTCCTACTCTGATTATTTTTGTGCAAACCATTAATCACAACTATAATAAGTATTTATTTGTGTGCTTGTTTATTTAATGATTGTCTTCCCACAAGACTGTGACAAAGGAGCAAGGCTCATATGTATCTTAAACACAGAGGTACTTGATTGCTTTCTGGGCTTAATACATAGTTATTGAAAGAAAGGATGAATGCATACTGGATGAATGAATTCCTGGCTTCGGGACCACCCAGTTGAACCAGTCTCACTCCTTTACAGTCCACTACTCACTTGGTTAGCTGGCCCTGTGCCTCCCCAAATTCTTTTCTTTTCTTTTTTTTTAAAACAGAGTCTCACTCTGTCACCATTGGCAGAGTGCACTGGCATCATAGCTTACAGCAACCTCAAACTCTTAATCCTCTTACCTCAGCCTCCCAAGAAGCTGTGACTACTGGCATCTGCCACAATGCTCAGCTAGTTTTATTTATTTTTATTTTTGAGACAGAGTCTCACTATGTTGCCATTGGTAGGGTGCCATGGTGTCACAGCTTGCAGCAACCTCAAACTCTTGGGCTTAAGCTATTCTCTTGCCTTAGCCTGCCTATCTAGGACTACAGGCACCTGCCACAACACCTGGCTATTTTTTGTTGCAGTTGTCATTTTTGGTTAGCTGGCCTGGGCCAGGTTCGAACCTGACTCCCTCAGTATATGCGACTGGCACCATAACCACTGTGCTAATAGATACTGAGCCGCCCAGGTAGTTTTAGAGATGTGGTCTCACTTTTACTCAGGCTGGTCTCAAACTCCTCAAGGCTGGTGCTCAAGCAATCCTCCCCACCCACCTTGGACTCCCAGAGTGCTAGGATTACAAGCATGAGGTACCATACCCGGCCCCAAATTCTTTATTCCTAGGGCTTTCCTGGGGTACCCAGATTCCTGAACCTTTTTTACAGAGATTCTGGGTGAGCAGGTCTGAGGTAGAGTTGCCAGCATATTGACCACATTCTGGGTGATGCTAACATTGGTGGCTGCAGAACCCCTCTGAGACGTACTGCCTATGGCACACAGCTATTTGCCCTTTCCACCGAGAAGCGCTGCACTTTCAGGCTTCCCTGCTTTTGCTTGCTCTTTCTTTTCTGCTTGTAATATCCTACCCAGTCATGGAAAGTTCCATAGATTCATTCATTCCACCAATCTCCATAGGCAGGACTGACATGGACAGTGGTGCAGGCTGTGCATTACACAAAGCTGCCTACCCAGTGGCAGCCCCATTCCTAAGTACCTACTTTGAGCCAGATCCCCTATTGCTCTGGAGCTCACTGTCTGGTGGTTAAAAAAAAGTGTATGTGAAGAGAGAGAGAAATAAGCTTGTATAAGAACTGCCATGATAGAGGGGTACTCAGAGGTCTGTGCAAGTCCAGAGAAAGCATCTGACTCAGACTGGAGCTCAAGAATGGCTTCTTGGAGGAAAATATGACTGATTTCACAGAACATTAAAGGAAGATTGGGCATGGATTAGGGAACAAAGGTGTTCCAGTGAAAGGGAACAACATGTACAAAGGCATGGAGGTGCGAAATGCAGCTAGTTCTGTGTGATTAGATGGTCAGTGTTGCCTCCAAAGTGAGGCTTTCCCTCATGTCTTTTGCCTATAATTAATTACTCTTCCTCAGTGTACCTGGCATCAGAAGGGTGCCAAAGGTGGGCATTGGACAGCGAGAGCTATGGGCTTCAGTTTTATAGACAATACAACCCTTCCTTGTGTCCACCAAGGTAGACAGCACCCTCACCCACACCCCTTGGATCAACATAGCTTTGCATACAATTGGTTGTAGCTTGTGTGTCATACAATTCTCCTTCCCAGTTCTACACCATCATCCCTGTCTTAAAGTGGATTCCCTCAGAAGACAAGGGCAAGACAGGATTTGAATGGTTTATTTGGGAGCTGATTCCAGGATATGGGGTGGGTGAGTGGAGAACTGAGACAAGGGGAGACAGGCAGTAGAGGGAGTGTGATCAAGCCATTTACCTCTGTGGGCAACTGGAGCTCGGTCTTGCTAGGGAGCTCAGGGAGGCAGTGTAAGACATGTCTTAGAGCTGAAGGTATCTGCCACGGATTGAGAGCTTCTTCTGAGGTCATGAAAGGCCCTCAGGCAGAGAGTTGCAGAATTTAGAGAAAGCAGTCTTTGGTGCTTAGAGGTGACTGCTGAGCAGGGGTAGGAGGTATCGTAGTTGAGTCTGTTATGGCCCTCAAACCCCTAACTAAGGGTGAGCCATGTCTTAGAAAGTGTGTGGCTCAGCAGCCAGTATGGAATAGGCATTAGTATCTATGTATTGAAAGAATGAAGGAAGCTCTGTCTCCTGCCCTCATGGCCAGAACTATGTTTCATCTGCCCTGATCTCCAGGGTCCTCCAGGGAAGGGGAAAAAATAGGAGCATCCCATGGGGCTAGAGTTTGTACATGTCTTGCACCTGGTCCATCCAGCACTTTCTGTGGACTTACCTACATCAGCAAGAGTCCCAGTCTGCCCTGTGAGGCCTGTGAGTGGCCGAGAAGGGAAGCAGGTGACAAGTGCTTCCCCAATTTGGCCCCCACTACCTGGGGAGAACAGAGCCCATACCAGAGATGAGGGCCCAGGATGTTAGAAAGAACTTGGCAGGTGGCTGCAGCCACCAGTTCCTGGTTGCCTAGTGACAGGAATGTGGGCATTCCAAACTCCCTGTCTCCCTGGAAACAATGAAGAAGTGAGCTGAGGGCTGTGCTTAGATGAGCATTGAGGTGGAATCATTCACCACTGTAATTCTTCTTTGGCCTAGCATCAATCCAACCACACCACCTTCTCCAGGAAGCCCTCCGTGGTTAATATAGCTCTTTGCTTCTACTAAGTAGCTAACTGGTACCCAACACTTCCCATTCTCTTTGTCAGTGGGGTACCCAATATACTTGATACCCAGAGCAGATCTTTTTTTCTGAAATGCATTATCATTTTAATGTAATACTATTAGTTTTTATTGTGGTAAAATACACAGAAAATTTATTTTTTAATCATTTTAAATGTATAGTTCAGTGATATTAAGTACATTTATGCTCTTATGTAACCATCACCAACATGCACCTCTAGAACTCTTTTCATCTTGCAAAAGTGAAACTACCCATCAAACACCAAATCCCCATTTCTTCCTCCCTTTAGCCCCAGGTAACCACCATTCTACTTCTGTGTCTATGAATTTGGCTACTCTGGGTATTTCATATAAGTGGAATTATACAATGTAATATGTGTCTTTTGTGACTAGCTTATTTCTCTTAGCACAGTGGTTCTCAACCTTCCCAATGCTGCAGCCCTTCAATACAGTTCCTGTGGGTCTCGACCCACAGGTTGAGAACTGCTGTCTTAGCATAATTTTCTGTA